AATTTTAGTAATCGAGGTACTCGAATCATTCGAGGAATCGTTTCAGCCCTATCTGAGTCCCTCCTGGAAGAATCTCACCCTAAACTCTAAGGGAGAGCCCTGACACCCTGCAGAGGAAATTAGTTTTGGCAAGCTGCATGCATCTGTGATCTTGTTCTTTGGTCACTACCCAGAACTGGTGACCATATTTGAGGGTAGGTATGTATGTAACTTTATTTAAGCTGACATGTCTCACTGAGATTAAAAATCTCTTTTTCAAGAGAGACCTGGTCAAGACTACTAGGTGTGTAGATAGACCAATATTGATGAGCAGCTCTCTTGTCGCCACGATGAGCTGGTGCAGTGCTTGCATCTTTGTAGATGCAGCACCAATCCGTCTTTCAATTTCCCGCTCCATTTTTCCCTAATTTCTGAACAAGACCCCAAGATACTTAAACTCCTCCACCTGGAGCAAGACCTCTTCCCCAACCCAGGGTTTATCCTTTTCCAACTCAGTCTCAGTCTTGGAGGCACTGGTCCTTTCTCCTACTGTTTCACACTCATCGGCAAACTGCTACAGCAAACACTGTAGATCATGAACTGATGAGGCCAACAGAATCACATCACATCAGAGGTGCGATTGTGAGGCCACCTGAACTGATCTTCTCAAAAGCCTGGCTGCACCTGCAAAGTTTGAAGTCACTGGAAGAAAAAAACAGAATTATTGTCTCTATTTCTGCAATGAGGTCCAGTTAAGTTGGGTCTACCTGTGTTTGGTAGCAGATGCTCCATTTGTCCTGAGGTTCTCACAGTCACACCTGCAGAGGCAAGAAAACATTCAGACCCAGTTCGCCCAACCTCAAAAGCCCCTTTTCCACTAGAGCAGCTTTAACCAGTTCTGCCTCAGTTCGCCCTAGCCACATTTGTTTCCTTTAGCAGAATCTGTGCATTTCCTCTATATTTTCCATAGACGCTTCAGGGGTAGTACAAGCCATGTATGGTGCGCAAGCGATTTGATTGAGAGCAGATTACATTTGTTGATCGGCTCATGATTTAAATCACTGGAAACTCCAAACAACATCTCAACCACCACTGGGGAGCGGTGGACATGCCGTCTGCTACCAGAGACTTGCTCAGTATGGAGGAGCGGAATGACCGTGATTTAACAGGTCATTGTGATTCTGATTTAACAGTGCAAGCAGCACTTCTCTCTGAAGAATGAAGATGCAATGAAGAAGTTAGAAACAGTGCAGCTCTTCTCAACGTTCTGTTGGAGCTGCAGTTTGGTGCCAGTCTGTGAAACACCAGAACTACATAATATTTGTTTGGGCTATAGAAACCAAATATGTGTTTGGTCACTAGACCAAACAGGTCTAGTGACCTGTTTGGTCTATGGTTGTAGGCATAAGAGTATGAGCCAAGGGGCAAAAGCAAGTTGGCAGGTGTTGAATTTGGACAGGCATACAAGTTTTGAGTGTAGTTTGAAAAGACTGCAATTGAGACAGATCCAACTTGACTATAACCAAACCAAACATTAACTAGCTAGAATGAGATCCAATAATGGAGAAGGGGCCAAACTCTTAGCTCCGCCTCTTTGTTCAGGATGTGGGATCATTATATACCTGTTCTTCATCATGGAGTTAAGGGAAGTTGGACAACCATCTGAACCAAGAATGAAGAAATGAGATCTTCCACTGATGTATGACCAGATGGAGAACTTTACAGAACAAATATGGTGTCAGAACGGAGCAGAACTTTGGGCCTATAGGGTTCCTGTGGACGTCATTTTGTTCTGAACATCTTTCTCTCCAAACTCTGATGCAGGACAAGGAGGAGGCTGAACTGTAGGTACTGATACCTGAACATGCCCTCAGCTCAGTAATTTGAGGAAGTGAACATGGACCTCACTGATAAGACAGTTGTGGTCTCATCAAACAGGCTTTGGACCATACCGAGTTGATTCTGTGTAAGTTCTGGTTCTGTTGAAAGTTTTGTACCGAGGAAGGCGTAGACCAGTTCACCGACTGATCTCATGGCTCTGAAGAAGATTCCTGGCAGCTGAATGTCTTCGTCCAGGGAGGAACCAGCTGCTGTGCCAATCAGATCCACTGGATTACTGCAGAAAACAGGAAACTCATCAGCAAGGTCTCCAGGCCAGAGGGAGGAGCATCAAGCAGTTACCTGAACAGGTGCAGGAATTTGAACCAGGTGTGAGAAACACGTTCACCTTCCAAGTCTGGAGGAACCAGAGAAGCATCTTCATCTGGAACCTTGAAGGGAGGGAAGGAAGGTCCAA